GCTGCCGGCGCGGCCCTGTGCTCACTCTGGCTGGACCCTTGCTGGGCGGCCCCCTCCCGCCTAGCCGCCGCTCCGGCTCATAAACTCTCGTAGGCAATAAAATTGCTTTCCCTGGTCGCAGCGCCGGAGATTTGCAAAATTCCGAGGAGCTCAGAGTTGACTGTGCTAAGATCCCCATCCCACCTAGGAAGGACCTCAGTCTCCTGACCTGGTTCCCTCCTCCCCGCCCCACTCCTGCTGAAAGCTCTTAAAGTAGGTCCCCGCGGCTGGAAGTTATTAGCGGGCACTGGGCCTGGGGGCACTCAAGCCTTGGAAGAACCTGGCCCGGCAGAGCGACTGCAACTGGGTCTAGTGGGGATGCGATGCACAAGCCGGCGCAGGTGAGTGGACTCCAGCCGGCTCTGCAGCGGGACCCAAGACTGTCCCAGCAGGGCTCAGAGGCCCTCTGAAATCAATTTAAAAAGCAAAACAAAACATGGAGAAGCAGGGAGGCCTGGCCCTCAGGAGAGAAGACACAGCAAACCCAGAGCGAGGGTTATTGCTCAGGAGGGGTCTGTGCCAGGAAAGACTGACCTCCACAGAGGGCCTTCTGGTTACCCCTGAGTCTATCAGTTGATGCCTTTGTCTCCTCATTAAGCTCCTGTAGTCCCAGCTGGGGTTCCCCAGCCTGGGAGCAGTGGTGAGAGGGGTCCCTATAGAGGAGTGACTTGATACATCCAACCAGATTCTGGGACAGAAACCCCTGCCAAGCCAGGGACAAACTCTAAGGACTGCAATAGTCATTCCTATTTTATCTGCATCCTAGATGTCATTCTCTCTTCTCTTCACCCCCCCCCCCCCCCCCCCCCTCACCTAACCCAGGGCCCACACCAGGGTGAGCACCTCCACCACCCTCCATTGTAGGAATAAGGCAGTTCTGGGACAGCTGCTCCATCAGCAGAGTCCAACAAGGCAAGGCTTTTGTTCGCATATCACATCCCAAATAGCCAGTGGGTTTACAGCCCAGAGACAAGCCCCACCACTCCTGCAGAACTCGCACTCTGAAGGAACTCTCTGCTATGGGTTTCTTCTAGTTTTTTCCTATCAGTGCCATGAAGAAGTAGGCCAGTCCCTCCTGGACTGTCATTCTGTCACCTTCTCTGTAAACCTCTGCACCTCCCACCATCTGTGCAGTGATCTTCTGGGTCTACCAGTCTATTCCCTGGGGCAAGCGGAGCCTGTGGTTGGGGTGCCCCAATCAGAGCTTGGGAGATCTGAGGCATGTGGGCCAAAGACTCCTTGACAAAGACAGGAAGACACTTTGATCACAGTGGGGGGCGAGGGAGGGTGTAAGAAACTTCAGGGTGTAATACTGACCTCGACACCCAACCACCCAACGGAAGTAGACAAACACAGAGTCTTCTTGGTAAAGGCTTCCTTCAATGACCACCCCTTCCCCCCATACCCACAGATACTCACAGTGCTCTGGTGACAGCCTGAGCAACACAGCCCAATGGGTCAGAGAGCATAGCCAGGCCACAGCAGAAAGCTGAGATGCCTCAGGACCTTGTTAATTGGTTATTAATGGTGGGGGGCAGAGGAGGGTCAGGAGAGATCCTCCTAGCTGGAGGCCTTAGCCCTCTGAACCATCCTGGTGGTTTCACTTAATCTGAAATTAAAGAGGGTCCCAGGAGGATGCAGGAACTGGCTAGCTCCTGTACCAGGCCAGTCACCAGACACTACAACTTTCACTCATGCATCATCTGTGTTGCATTTGTCATCTTTTGCTCTCAGTATCTAGTGTGTGTCTGTGAGGAGTGTGGGGCTCTCCTAAAGGGCCCTGGCCTTCCTCCCCTGCCGTCTCTCCTGCCTACCTTCTCTGCTATGCTAACTGGGCTCTGGTAATGGGGTTGGACAATGGGGTTAGGCAATCCCCAGATGTGCATTTGGGGGAGGAGAGGGAAGGAGAGACTAGTAATGGGAGGAGGCTGCTGACAGCAGAGCCCAACTAAGGTCTCCCCAGCAGCCAGCGACTTGTCCAGCCTATTGTGGGGCCACAGGAGGGGACTTTTCCCAGCGAAGCCTCTGGAACCTGAGCTGGGGAGAAACCGGATCCTTGGGTCCTTGGAAGGGGTAGGAGGAGGGTGAGTGATTAATGAGGAAGATTAAAAGATTAAACCTGGGTTCTAGGCTTGGGGGGCACTCAGTTGACTCATCGACTTCCCCCACTCCAGTTTGGGGGGGGCTGACAGGTCCCAGTGCTCCCTGATGTGAGCCTCTTCCTCCCCCCTCCCATGATCCAACCCTCCCTGCCTTGGATCCTTCCTAGAGCCATCCACAGACATAATCATTCACCACTGCCCACCCCCAACCCCTACCAGGACGACAGTTTTCCTCTCCCAGCATCCTCAAGCAATCCCTCACGTCTCCCTCAGATTCCCCTCACTGTTCTGTTCAGAAACTTCAGGGTCTTCCACTCCCTCCCCTCATAGAGATCTCCACATGCCGACTTTCACTCCCTCAGGAAGGTGCCTCAATTCTCTCTTAATATGTTGCCCTAGCCCAGCCGTGGGCAAACTACGGCCCTCGGGCCGGATCTGGCCCGTTTGAAATGAATAAAACTAAAAAAAAAAAAAAGACCGTACCCTTTTATGTAATGATGTTTACTTTGAATTTATATTAGTTCACACAAACACTCCATCCATGCTTTTGTTCCGGTCCAGTTTAAGAACCCATTGTGGCCCTCGAGTCAAAAAGTTTGCCCACCCCTGCCCTAGCCGGTTTGGTTCAGTGGATAGAGCGTCGGCCTGCGGACTGGGGTTCCTGGGTTCAATTCCGGCCAGGGCACATGCCCGGGTTGTGGGCTCAATCCCCACTAGGGGGCGTGCAGGAGGCAGCCAATCAATGATTCTCTCTTATTGATGTTTCTATCTCTCCCTCTCCCTTCTTCTCTGAAATCAATAAATATATGTTTAAAATAAAAAATATGTTTTTATATCAAAAAAAAAGAAAAAAAATGTTTTTATTGATTTAGAGAGAGAGGAAGGGAGAAGAATAGAGAGATAGAAACATTGATCTGCTGCTTCCTACATGCCCCCCACTGGGGATCAAGCATGCAACCAGGCATGTGCCCTAACCTGACCAGAATTGAACCTGTGACCTCTTGGCTCATGGGTTGACACTCAACCACTGAGCCACACCGGCTGGGCTAAATTCCCTTTTTAAAAAAATATATTTTATTGATTATTTTACAGAGAGGAAGGGAGAGAGACAGAGAGCTAGAAACATCGATGAGAGAGAAACATCGATCAGCTGCCCCCTGCACACCCCCCACTGGGGATGTGCCCGCAACCAAGGCACATGCCCCTGACCGGAATCGAACCTGGGACCCCTCAGTCCGCAGGCCAACACTCTATCCACTGAGCCAAACCGGTTAGGGCTAAATTCCCTCTTTTTAAAAACATTTTTTATTGATTTCAGAGAGGAAGGGAGAGGGAGAGAAAAACATCAATGATGAGAGAGAATCATTGATAGGCTGCCTCCTGCACGCCCCCTACTGGGGATCAAGCCCACAACCTGGGCATGTGCCCTTGGTGGGAATCAAACCCGGGACACTTCAGTCCGCAGGCTAACGGAGCCAAACAAGGTAGGGCTCAATTCCCACTTAATACTTTCTCTCACCTCCCATCAGGCCCTTTCAGATTTCCATTTCCTCATCTCTGCACCTTATCTCCAACCTTATTCCCCTTCCTCATCACCCCCACCTTTTCTCTCATTCCCAGACACCGCGCCTCTCACTGAGCCTCTCACTCACCCAGCCATCCGCAGCCTCTCATCTGGTGAGTCCTTTCAATCCCACCCAGGCCTGCCCCAGACTGACCCCTCTTCTTGGTACAGAAATCTGCTCAATAAACTACCTTTAGTCTTCAGATGTTGCACCCTAGGCAATCCTCTGAATTTTGTGAGTGTGTGTGGGGGAGGTATTGGGGGAATCCTCAGAATAACTCCTCTGGGGCGGTGCAAAGGACAGTCTGGGAGAAAACCTTTAGCCAGCATGAGAGGTAAGTGGGAGTTCATGGGGGAAACTCCAAGCAGAGGAGCTTGGCGCGGGCATCCATCCACCTCGCACACTTCTGGGATTTTCTCTTGCCGAAAACATTACTGCAGAGTGAACGGATTTGGATCCTGAAGTTTCAGTTTCGTTATTTTTAGGACTCGGGTTTGTAAGTTCTTTCCGGCCCTTTACACTGGTTCACACAGCTCTGCGTAACCGCCGCCAGCCCGGGGTGTGCGGCCGGATGGGGAGCTGCCGGATACTCAGACGCCTCCCGCCTCCGCACACACTTACACCCTGGGACTCAGGGTCCCGGGGAAGTCAGTCCCTTATCCCTATATCCTCTCCCAGCCTCCCCCTCCCCCAAGTCTTGGGAGAAACAGGCCAGGCTGAGAGGGACGGGTCCGCCCCTCTCTGTGCCAAAGGCTGGGGCGAATCTCCCAGGCGGAAGCGGCTGGGTGAGATAGGGCGGCGGCAGAGGCACCGGCGGGCGAGGGCCTGCGGGTGAGGACTAGAACCGCGGGCGGGATCCATCTGCCCTGGCCCCTGGCGCAGATCCAGAACCAAGTGACCCAGGGGATAGGGACTGCTGCGTGGAGCAGGCCAGAGAGCAGGGATAGGGTCTGCTACGTGGAGCAGGCCAGAGAGCAGGGATAGGGACTGCTGCGTGGAGCAGGCCAGAGAGCAGGGATAGGGTCTGCTACGTGGAGCAGGCCAGAGAGCAGGGATAGGGTCTGCTGCGTGGAGCAGGCCAGAGAGCAGGGATAGGGTCTGCTGCGTGAAGCAGGCCAGAGAGCAGGGGAAGGAGCCCATAGATGAGGGAGAGAGATGCGGAGCCCGCAGCTGGCCTGCGTCAGCAACCTGGGGAAGTTGGCCGCTGCACAGCCGCCGCCGACAGACAGAAATCAGGCTGCCTGGAGCTGGGGGTGAGGCGGGGCAGCTGCTCCCCCAGATCCGGCCCGAATGCCCCCCCCCAATGCCCCCGGCTGCTCCTGGGCCCCAAGCCAGGTGTCATCAAAGGCCTCACCCCCAGGTTTGGTCTTCAGGCCTGGGGGCCCTCAGGCAGCCTCCTCTTTTAGCTGGCCATTCTTTTTGTTTATTTTTGTTAATCATCACCTGAGGATATTTTTTCCATTGTTTTTCAGAGTGGAAGGGAGGGAGGGGGAAGAGAAACATCCTGTGAGAGACACCCGTGACTGGTTGCTTCCCCCACGCACCAACAGAGGCGGCCAAACAGCAATGAACTTGCAACCCAGGGACATGCCCTTGGCAGGGAATTGAACCATGACCCTCTGGTGCACCAGTGGCCACTCTAACCACTGAACCACCAGCCAGGGCTGGCTGGGCATTCCTGACCCAAGCCAAGCCCCATTCAGACACTCTCCAATTCCTGCAGCTGCTTGAGCCGCCCAAGTCCCCAGGGGTGTCTATCTTTCCCCCTAGCCCACACCTCTCCCTCCAGTCACTCCTCAGAACCACCCTTTCTCACACACACACACACACACACACACACACACACACACACACTCCAAGTTTCTGGCTACCCCAGTTAGAGACCCACAGAACAGGAATGCTGGCTGGGTTTATTTCCAGAGCTCAGTGCTCATAGCCAGGCTGGCACAGACCAGGAAGCTTGCTGACTTACTCAGTGGAGTGCTAGCCTTGCTGCTTCCCTCTTGTTCCTTGGAGCTGCCTTTGCCCTCCTGGGCACTAGCTCCCTCTCCCCCTCAATTCCTCTCTCTACAAGCTGGCCTCCCCTCGCCCAGGTACCTGAAGGCCTGCTGAAGCTTGTCTAGACAGCCATGTCTCCAACTCGATCCCTGTGAGTGTCCCATGCCCCATTTTTTTTAGCCTCCTCCGATTATGCACATCTTTGGATTTTTCTTTATATCACTCTTCTCCAGTCCTGCAGTGACCACTGTCCAACCCAAGCCCTACTCTCACCACTCTTGCATTAGGACACTCAGGCCTTTGCCACATGTTGCAACATTCAAGGACAGAGAGAGTTCCCCTCCAGAAAAACTTCCCTTCACCAAAACAGCTGGTGTGGGGGCCTGACTTCACTCCGCTCACCTGGGTTTTACGTAAGTAGGGTCCTCTACCCCTCTCCTTTGGTCATTTGCTGAGGGTCATCCTTCTTGATGACACTCAGAAGATTTCTGAGGGAAGCAGGACACAGGACAAAGTATGAGTGTGTGGTAGGGATAAGAAGGAAGAAGAGAGGTGCTTTTTAAAAGTTTTTATTTCAAAAAATAAAGCCACAATTTCACATAAATATCTGGGGAGGGATGGGGAGAGGGGTGGAGCAGGGGCTTGGCCCCTACCTCCTCTTCTCTTTCACACTGTACTGTAAAAGCAAAGGGGCTGGCTAAGGGGAGAACAAGGGGAAGAAGTCGTCAGCTGGAGAGTTTCTGCGAAAAAGGCCCCCTCAGCCCACCCCTGCCCTGGAACTGCCTTGGACCTGGCTCACCTTGCCGAACCATCGGGAGAGCCAGATCTGTTTCATGGTCATGTGATCAGGGAGAACTTCATTGTCAAAAAGGAGCTGCACCTAGCAGGGAGGTGGGAGCACTGTGTTAGGAACTCTCCTTTCGCACCATCAAGAACTCACCTGGTCCCCTCTAAACTCTCCCTCCCCATGGCCCCTTCTCCTCCCAAAGAAACCTACTGTGGGACACTCACATGCTGGGGATTTAGCATCAAGCGGTGACAGAGGACCCTCCGGAGATGACGAACCTCAGCTCTAACAGAACACCGGACATATTTGTTCTGAGGGTGGGCAGGGAAAGGAAGACAAGGTGTGTGAGAGAAGGGCCCCGAGGAGGTGAGTCTCCTGAGAGGTCCTCCCACAGCCCCTCTCACCTGCAAGACGCTTTTATTCTTGTCTTTGCCAGAACTGGGGGAAAACAGACACAGGTTAGGGAGCACTATCATCCCCTCCCCCGCATCCCCACCCAGAGCCATGGCATTATCTCTTCAAGGGAACAGACACTCGCTTAGCCTACTGCGAGCCCTCTCCCTGAGCCCCTCCCCGACTCTGGGTCATTGACACTCTCACTTCAGACAGCCCAGGACCTGCCTCTCACCTCAGCCGCTCCAGGCACAGGCTCAGCTGCTCATCATAGCGATAGTAGTGGGCTTTCGAATGGTCAAAGCTGCAGAAGGGGAGGCCGAGGTTGCTCAGGGCTGGCTCTGAGAAAGACAGAGTAGTGAAGCGAGCAGCACAGATTCCACACTCCTCTTCCCCCAGAGAGCAAAACCGGGCAGGAGGAATGCTCTGGGGGCTTTGCCTTACCCTCCTGCTGCCAAGGGACATACCTTCCCCGCCGGGCTGCGTGACTCGGTCCAAGCCTCGGGACTGGTAGAATTCTCGAATCCGTTTCTCTTCACCTGGAAGGGAGTGGAGTATGGGAGTCAAGTCTTAACTGTCCTCTGGCTGTCAACCTCTACCTACACGATGCCCACCAAAGCCCTCGTCACCGCAAGCTGCTACCCAGCATCCGTCCTCTAGAAGCCCCTCAGAGTCAGGTTGGTCACTCACTGTCTTGCAAGCCAGGCACCAGCTTGTACACGATGTCCTGCATGACCCGGTCCAGTTTGAGGTTGAGCAGTGGCTGTGTCTCGTGGATCTTGATGTTGCACATGGGGCAGTACTTGCTGGTTTGGAGGTACTTCACAATACAACTCTTGCAGACTGGAGGAAAAGGAAAACAGACTCTCAGGCCCTCGGGGAATCAGGTTCTTGGGCTGGAGGGGGTGCCTGGGTGGTTGGGGCAGGCGGTGCAGAGGCTACCAGCCAGCTGGGTGGGAACCAGGGCCTGGAAGAACCAGCCAGGGTCCAGGGAACTCACAAGTATGGAGACACTCTGTGATGGTGGTGGCATCCACGAAGTAGCCAGCGCACAGGCAGCAGACGATGTGTTCATTCAAGTCTTTGATCTTTACTCGGACCTCCTCCTGCGGACACACCCTCCGTCACCGATCACCCTTCCCAATCCCAACCCCGGTGCCTTCCCAGCCTGGGAGTCCCCTCTTTCATCACATCTCACAGCCAAGCCCGCACCTTGCATGGTCAGCAAGGGCTTAGCTCCCGGGGGCTGACACTACCCCTCGCCCAGCAGAGGTCTCCGCGCATAGCGGGGGCTCCCTTCACGTGGACTGGCCCGACCTTCCTTTCCCAGGGGAGACCATACGACGACAGCGGCACAACACGCAGGCGTCTTAGCCCAGAGTTTGGCAACTCGGACCACAATCGCGCAGGCGCACTGTGACCCCCGCCTCTGCGCAGGCGCACTGGGCGCCCGGCCGGTCCCGGCCTGTCCTCTAGTCGGCCCCAGTCAGCCCCGCTGGCCGACCACAGCAGTAACCCTGCCGCCCCTGCACCTCGTTCCGTAGCGGGTCCATCTTGTACACTGACTGGAGCTGGTTCCGAAGCCTCATCGCGATCGCAATCTGGCCCCCCTGAGGAGACGCCATCTTAAAGGCTGATCCTGGCCTGCCACTTCCGGTGCCGCCTGCAGGGCGGGACTTGTCGCCGAGCAACGAGGGCTTAGGTCTTTTCGGATTCGCTGACTCTCCGTAAGGCCCCGCCCACGTCCTTTCTCCCCCGTGTGCTCACCTGAGCCCCAGTGGCCCCTCCCCCTCCGCAGTTGGTAATTGGGGAGTGGGGGTTGTGTGGGGAGGGGCCCTATCTCATTGACCTCCTGCAGTAATAATCATCGTAGACCCGACCGAACCTCGGGACGAACTTTTGGAGCCTGCAAAAGCCTGCCTCCTCCTTCCCCCGAAGGCCGGGCGTCTCCGCCCGCCGCCGCTCAGGGTCGCCCAGCTCTGGTGACAACCACGCTAAAGCCCCTCCCGCGCTCTCCGTGTTATGTCGCCCTCGTCGGCCGACGCTAGACAATGCGGAGCTACATCCGACGGTGGGCCTTCTCCCGGCTCCAGAGCGGGAGTTTCCCGGGGCTTTGCGGAGGCTCGGGGAGGGCGACGGGAGGAGGAACCCCTAGAGACTTGGTAGTGATCTTACATCCCCCCCGCCGTCCTCCCCTGCCGCCGGGAGGAGGGGGGCAGGCCCTCGTTAATGATGATGATTCAATCACCGGCGCCTGCGGAGGCCTGGGACAGACTAATGCAGAGCAGATGCCGAAGGAGGAGGGGAGGACGACTAGGACACGGCCGCACGCTGACGCGCCCCGGCGGCGGGTCCCTGCAGGAGCAGAAGCTCAGCTCGGTGTTTGGGGGAGAAGCAGGGGTCCCGAAAGCTTGCGCGCCGCTGTCCCCAGGTGCCTCCAGTAGCACTAAAACCAAGGGTCAGTTTACTGTGAAGTATTAGCACCAAGTGCAGTTGGAGATGAAAGAAGGGGAGATCCCAGTGCAGACCTCGAAAGGCTTGCTGAAGGAGGTGGGGCTTGGTGTGGGCACAGTTTAGAGCTGGGGTGCGGAAGAAGTGTGGTGGGAATAGAAGAGGAAGGCTGCGCGGAGGGGAGGGGCCGAGAGGGACAGGGAGGAGGCCAAGGGGTGCATTTGAGAGCAGTGGTAGAAGAAGCAGGACTGGACGGAGCTGGGACTTTGAGGCTGTGGGCCTTGGAGAGCTAGCTGACTCTTTTGCAGCGGGGGCGGGGGGGGGGTGACCCTATGAGAGAAACATTTTTGTGCATTGATGTTCAGAGTGAACTGGAGTGGATAAGCGGCAAGAAGTTTTGGGAGTGGTGATGCTTTAATCACCTACTCACTATAGCCATGGCTTACCTCGTTGGTCCAAGATGCCATCATCTGTCCTCTGGATGAGTACTGGTTTTTTTGCCCGCTTTTCTTGCCTCCACCGTTGCCCCTCTTTCAGCAATTTTCAATACAGCAGTTCAGAGTAATTCTGGTAAAATATGAATAAAAAAGGATATAAGGAAAAAATTTGAGTTGATGGGTATGTTTATTATCTTGTTTGTGTTGGTGGTTTCATGGGTGTATGCATACGTCAAAACTTATCACATTGTACACTTTATTTTTTTCACATTGTACCCTTTAAATATGTGCAGTGTATTGTATGTCAGGTTTACCTTAAGAAAGCTGTTAAAAATAAAATTTAAAAATGGGTGCCTTACTTTTTTGTTTATGAACTTCCAATAGCTTCCCTTTATTAAAAAAATATATTTTCACCTGGGACCCGGGCATGCACCTTTGACCAGAATCCAACCAGGGACCCTTCATTCCGCAGGCCAACGCTCTATCCACTGAGCCAAACCACTGGGGCAGCTTCCCTTTTTAATCAGAATAAAAGGCAAAGTCCTTACAGTGGCCTGCAAGGCTCTGCATGGTCTCGCAGTCACTCAGTCTCTGGCCACACTGACCCCTCACTGTTCCACAGACACACCAGAATGTACTCCCACACTGTCACCAACTGGAAAAGTTCAGATGCACAAATGGTACCTTTCTTCCTTCAGGTCTTTACTCCACAAGGCCTTTATTATTATTATTATCATTTTTATTGATTTCAGAGAGGAAGGGAGAAGGAGAGAAACATCAATGATGAGAGAGAGAGAATCATTGATCAGCTGCCCCCTGCAGGTCTTCTACTGGGAGCAGAGCCCCCCAATGCAACCTGGGCATAAGCCCTGACCTCCTGGTTCATAAGTTGATGCTTAACCACTGAGCAACACCAGCCTGGCACTCCACAAGGCCTTTTTTGATTATTCTAGATAAATCACAGCTCCCTACCCTTTTACTTCTTCTCCCCCTTCCTTGCTTTATTTTGTTCTTTTTGGCAATTATTATTATTTAATGTATATTTTTCTTGTTTTACACCTGCCTCCCCCACTAAAATATAAGCTTCTCAGTGGCATAGACTGTTTTCCCCTGTTGTGTTTATACATCTTATATCTCCAGTGCCAGGTACAGAGGACTAACAGTGCCATATTCAATAAAAAATTTCTGGATGGCCCTAGCCAGTTTGGCTCAGGGGATAGAGTGTTGGCCTGCAGACCAAAGGGTCCTGAGTTCGATTCCAGTCAGGGTTTGATTCCAGTCAAGGGCATGTACCGTGGCTGCAGGCTCCTCCCTGGCCTGGGCCCTGGTCAGGGCTCTTGCAGGAGGCAACCAATCCATGTTTCTCTCTCTTTCCCTCTCTCTAAAAATCAATGGATAATATCGGATGAGGATTAAAAACATTTTCTTTTCTGGATGAACAAATGAATGAATGTAGGTAGTCGTGATGATGGCCTAGATTAGGCTGTTATCAGTGGGAATGGAAAGGAAGGGCTGTATATGAATTTCAAAGGAAAGCACAATAGGAGGGAGTAAGGAGCTTGGGCGGAGAGCCTGTCTTCCAGCCTGGTGGACTTAAGGTGGCTGCAGCAAAGGCAGGTGCAGTTGGCCAGAAGGCTGGAATGGTGGGGCTGGAGCACCAGTGTCAGAACCAGGGATGAAGGTCTCAGAGTTTTCTGGGTGGATGTAGTAGATGGAGCTATTGAAATGGATGAAACCTGAGCAGATGGAGACAGAGAGAAAACTGAAGTCTGGACTCTAAAGAATGCTCACAGTCAATAGTGGAAGAAGCAAAGTCAGTGGAGGAAAAAAACATAAGCAGTCACTATGCAAGTCCAAAGATGTAGAATAAGACAGTATTACATAAGGAAGCCGAAAAAGGGGACATTTCAAGAAATGGTGATCAACGAAGTAAAACATGTCTGAAATCTCTGGATAATGGACACTGGATACTGACACGTCCTGAGATGGTCGGTGTAGTGAAGCCAGCTTGCAGTGGGTTAAAAGAATAAATAATGAGGAAATGGAGGCAGTGGGTGTGGGCACGAAAAGAAAACAATCTTCCATGAAGAGTCGGGCAAAGACTTTGCCTAGATAACAGCGATCTAAGACAGTTGGGGTAGGAAGAGCTAAGTTAATGAGAGAAATGATGATACAGGAGTGGGGGGACCATCTCAAGGGAAGGCTACTATACCAATAGCAGGAAGGAAGGGAAGGCACAGAAGCACAGGCTGGGCATGTGGCCTCTTCTTGTGAAGGTACAGGCTTGAAAACTTGAAGAGTTGGGGGCCACATGCATGTAGAATATGGTGAGATAAATCCAAAGCGGTGTGTATGGGAGGTGGAGGTGCTGACCACAGAACCTCCATCTTCAACATAACTTAGCAGGAACCACACTTCGGAGAGAATCAGGGAATCCGCAAAGTGAAGGCAAGCAGAGGAATTCCTAGGACTGTGGCTGACAGACTGAAAGCCCTTGTTCTTGAAGTGGGGCACTGAAAAAAAAAAGTTTTAACTCCGTAGAAGATGTGTATGTACTACTGGTTTATGGCCATTCTCCTCAAAGGATCAGTTAGGCAATCTCTGGGTGGCAGTGCCATCTGTGCTGACCTTAAAAGGCAGGATGTATAATAAGCAGGTATACAGGTCTGTACTATGCTGACTTTTTCTTCTTCATTGATTCACTCGTTGATGCATTCCATTGATGCATTTATTCAGCTTGTTTGGAGATACACTAGTGCCACACTCTTCTCAGAGGCCCACCCCCTAGAGTGGGAAAGGGACTGGCAAACTCCTAACCTGCAGGTCAGTCCCCTTCAGAGGCTTTATTTATGTATTTTAAATTTTTTTATTTATTGATTTTAGAGGAAGAGAGAGAAGGAGAGTAGGAAGGAGAGAGGAAAGGAAGGAGGGAGAGGGTTAGAGGGAGGGAGGGAGGGAGGGAGGGAGGGCGAGCGAGAATGAATGAGAATCTAACCAACTGAGCTACCCAGCCAGGGCCAAAGGCTTATTTAGTTTGCTGTCTCCTTAGCCTCTCTGTTCACATCTGGGGGGATCAGCCACGCTATTTCAGAAGGTTTTGCCTGAATAGCAGGTTTCACATGCCCTAGTAGCCCCATCCCTCTATTGTTGAAAAGGTTGCTTGTGCTTTTGTGAAAGGCTAGGGGAGGTGATGATGCCTGTCTTTTTCACCAAGATAAGAACACACCTGCCAAATTTGCATGTCCCCCACCCCCTTTCAGAAGAGGTGGTTGACAGGGTGGGGTAAGGGCTGGAAGAATCGGATGATGGGTGTGAACAAGGTTGGGGAAGGATGTTAGTATTAATGCCCACTGCTCCCTCCCCCAGCCTTCAAACTGAGGCTTCTGAGAACAGAGGGGCTGGTGGCTTTGGTGGGGAGAGAGCCCACTCCCTTTTTCTCTTCTTTATTTTCCTGCCCAGATGCCCAAATACCATTCCTCCATCCCCTAGAGAGAAAGGACCCATCACCCTGCCCCAGGCACCAGTCTGCCAGCCCATCTGCTGGGGAGAAAGAAGGATCTGCGCCTTTCCCAGAAGATCCCGAAGAATCAACTGGAAGATCCCGCGCTCCTAGGGAGACCCATCTACTAGGCTTAGAAGGAGAAGGCACGCTGGCTCCCATGGAGCACCAGGCAGCCTGGAACGGAACATGGAGTGGGCTGGGGTCGAGGAGCTGGGTTGGCACATCGGGGTGGGGCCCTTTGGCCACCACGTGTCCGAGGCGGGCCAAGCTGCTCGTCGGTGCCAACCCGTCCGCGGGATGTGAAG